AATATTAAAATTAAAAAATTAGATACAATTTGAATTTAGATTAAATTTTTGATGAGTATAGATGTTATGCACCATATATAAAATTATAAAAGAAGGCTTTCCCGTAATCATTATATAAAATATTGGGAGAAGCCTTCATCTTTCTAGATATGTACTCGGGTATGTCATCTAAAATAGATGCGTAATCTATTATATAAATATTGGAAGAAGCCTACCCTATCACTAGTATGTATCCGGATGTGACATAAAGATTACATCTCGATAGTATGTATTCGGACATATGTAGTATATATATATCTAAAAGTGAAAGCTTCTGCGTTGGCCAAAATTAAACGCAGATTTACATTGAATTACTGCGCCACCTAACATGATATTTTTTTATCGCATTTTGGCATTTTGAAAGACAACTAAATAGGCACAAATTCTTAATATAGAACTAACATTCAAACTGGTTGACCCAGCACTGGCAACCAAGAAGGATAACATGACACTATATACTCAACCGGCAATCAAAAGGCTTAAAAATGGAAAACAAACCATCACTTACTTAGTAACCAATCAGCTGTAAAGCCCCACCAGTATAAATTATACCAGAAAGCATTTATTAACACACAGCACATAATAAAAAAGGACATATTCAGGTTATTTAGTCATAATCACAATTAGATTATTTAATCACATGATCACAAATGATAAATAGAAAATGGAAAAAGAAATTCGATTTAAAAGGCAAGAAATATAATAAGAAAAATAGGTAGATATAAAAAATCATCACAATTAGGTTATTTAACTAGATTATTTAATCATAATTAGATTATTAACTTTAGATTATTTAGTTATATTTAGATTATTTAGTTATATTTAAATTATTTAGTTATATTTAGATTATTAGTTATATTTAGATTATTAGTTATATTTAGATTATTTGGTTATATTTAAATTATTTAGTTATATTTAGATTATTAGTTATATTTAGATTATTTAACCATATCTAGATTATTTTATTACTAAATAACCTAATATAAGCCATTTATGACTAAATAATATAATTATATTATTTAGTCATAAACAGCTGAGGTGACTATGATACGTGCTAACTCTATAAAGCGCTTGCGAAATGTCTTAATAACTAACAGCAAATCATTGAAAGAGAAAGATATGAATAGTTTCTTACTTGAGGCTCATAAGAAAATTGTTAGTAGTGAAATAAAGCAATGCAATAAGAAGAAGAAGAGTGAAAAAAATGGGCAGGAATTGATTCAAGAAATCTCTTCATTTGTACCAAAAGAAAATTATATAACTAAAATTTCTGAGACTGTATAGTCACAGAAATCTGATAATTCAAATGCATTAGTGTCTTCATTTTATGAAACTACTATGATAGAGATATCTCAATATTTGGCCCAGTTATGTGATAAAGCGCTTATTACAGAAGAGCATAGATTAGAAGCAATTCAAGAAGAAATATTTTGCTGATATCACTATAGAAGAAATTTTGTATTTCAGTTGAAGGCCTTGTGTGATAAAAATAAAATTGGTAAAAAGAAGATAAAAGGTCTAATATATGATGAAGTCATAAAGCAAGTTAATATTCTTTGTAAGAAAAGATCTAGCGAAGCGTCTTACAGCTAAGATATAGGAGTGTCACTTCCAGATATAATAAAAGATAGTTTACGCAAAAAACTCAGAGAGCTGAGAAGATCTACAAGCTTCTCAAAAAAATAATATTGGATAAATTCAGTATATCAAGTTGTATAGTAAATGAAATATCAAAGTTTACTAATGATAAAATCTAAAAGATTATGGATTATTTCTCGTTAGAGTTATAAGCGAATTCCTTGGTTTTAGCAGAAGTAAGTGAATCAATAGCACCTATTCCTTTAACTCATGATTTTAATTCTTCTGATAATTTCAAAGAAGTCAGCCAAGCAATTCAGGTTGAGGATGATTTTTATAAAATGCTCTTGAAAGATTATATGAAAGATTGTATGTATTTTGATAAGAAAATTGATTTCACATCCCAATTGGTAAAAAAAATGAATAAAGAAGCTATTTCACAATCAGGAAGAGAAATATACGAAAGTAAGCCAGACAATGACTCTGATTCCAATGATTCTAAAGAGGATTTACTAAATAGTTCAGATGATGATAAATATGGTCTAGAAGGAACAGTCTTCGGTTACATAAAATTTCCAAATCTGGTAAGGAGACGATACATCAGTCAACCAATCAAAATTGCAATTTTTGTAATGAAATCACATGATTTAAAAAGCCATAATATTAGAAATTTTAATTAATAAAGAAATTAAATCTTTTAAGATATTTATTTAATTAACTATTTGAATTGTGATCATAATAATGTAATAATAAAATACTAAAATGTAATTTAAAAAATGTAAAAATTTTACAAATTTATAAATAATTCTTTTACGTGTTCTAACAAATTTTCTACTTTTATATTATTCTTTGCTTCATCTACATTATTCAAATCTCCTTCAATTGTATCTTTTTCAGTATTTTTTTAACAGATTCTTGTTCACCCGATTTCTTTGTAAAACTGATTATTAGAGCATCAATATTTTTCTTGACCTTGTCTTGAAGATACCCTAAATATATCAAACATTTAAATTGGCATCTTTGTAGACAATGGTTATGGTAACCATACCCATATGCGATGTTAACGTTACTCTTTCCGTCGAATAAGTTAACTATGATTTGAAGTCAGGGAGGCAATAGCTATGACTTAAAT